TTAAGTAAATTTCTTTTTTTTTTTTTTTTGTACTGGGGATTGAACCACTGAACCACATTCCCTGCCCCCCCTTTTGTTAATTATTTTATTTAGTTATAGTTGGACACAATATCTTTATTGTATTTATTTACTTTTATGTGGTGCTGAGGATCAAATCCAGTGCCTCACACGTGCCAGGCAAGCACTCTACCACTAAGTCACAATCTCAGCCCACCACCAGCCTTTTAAAATTTTTTTTTTACTATTTATTTTTTTTTAAGCTTTTAGGTGGACACAATATCTTTATCTTATTTTATGTGGTGCTGAGGATCGAACCTAGTGCCTCATGCATGCCAGATGAGCGCGCTACTACTTGAGCCATATCCCCAGCCCTAAATTTTTTGTTTTGAGAGAGGGTCTCACTAAGTTGCTTAGAGCCTTGCTAAATTGGTGAGGCTGGCCTTAAACTTGAGATCCCCTGCATTAGCCTCCCAGGTTGCATGTGCCATTGTGCCTGGCTTCAAGTAAATATTCTTAAAGACAGTAAACTTGTTTTTTTTAGACTACTTAAAAAAATGGCATTGAAAAGAGCACATTCTGAGAAACTTTATTTTACTCTCTGCAATATACTATTGAATATTTTTCTTAAAATTGTATTTTTCGTAAGCTTTTAGAGTGCCAGAATTAGTTGCTTATCAACTTTTACACCTACATTTTACATACCACATTCTCCCACATCCCCACAAATTGTTTATGTTAATTATAGCAAGACACTAAGGCATGAACCACTTCATTTTGGAATTCATATTATGATACTGAAGATGATCTGTAAGAACAGGTGAACATGCTTTGTGTAATGCCACTATAGAGATTTCTCTAGTATCATGTCTTAGAGCTCAATGTATTACTTAAAGAGTCTTATAAGAAACTATATTAAGGTGATCTGTGGTAAGTGGGATTGAGGATACATTGAGAAAGTAGGATCTTGGAAAATGGAAGGTCCTAATTTCCCTAATGTGTTTTTGGTTTTGTAAAGTCATTGTATTCTTAGGAAATATTTTAAGTTTTCTGGAAAGAGAATAAAGGAAGATTATCATAAAAGCTCAGATAAGGGAAAAATTAAATGAAGAATGTAAAATGTGGGCAGAATGTCCATGTGTTTTGATGTGAACCCTTAGACTACATCTTGTATTGTGACTGTGTGATTTAGTCATGATTCTTTTGAGTTTTTCTGGTTTTAATAGTATTGAGATGTTACTTTCATGTTCATGTGGGAATGTATATGTGTGCTCATCCCTTAAAATGATGAATAAAGCACTTCAATTAGAATTTTTAGTAGAAACGAGTCTTATTATTTATTATCGTCATCTCATTTATTTTGTTTTTTTGTTTGTTGGTGGCACTGGGGATTGAACCCAGCTCTACCACGAACTACATCCCCAGCCCTTTTTATTTTGAGACAGGGTCTCACTAAGTTGCTCAGGCTGCCCTCAATCTTGCCGTCCTCCTGCCTCAGCTTTCTGAGTAACTGGGATTACAGTTGTATTGGGATTACAGTACCCATACCCAGCTATTATCATCTCACTCATTAAGAAAGGATTCCCTGGGGCTGGGGTTGTGACTCAGTGGTAGAGCACTTGCCTGGCATGTGTGAGGCCGTGGGGTTCGATCCTCAGCACCACATATAAATAAATAAATAAATAAATAAATCCATTTAAAACTGAAAAATAGGGGCAGGGGTTGTGGCTCAGAGGTAGAGTGCTCGCCTAACATGCATGAGGCACTGGGTTTGATCCTCAGCACCACATAAAAATAAAATAAAGAGAAGTAAATGAAGGTAAAATAAGGTGTTTAAAAAAAAACACTAAAAAATAGAGGAATCATTTCTTTCTTTTTTTTTAAACTATGAGTTCAACCCTTTATATTTCTGATTTTTAACCTTGTACATATTAATTCCATTTTTTCTGCTAACTCAAGACTAAGACAATTAATATGTTATTATGTATATATGTGCACAGAGTACTACATTAGCTAGGTCATACTGTGGTAACAAGCATGACCTAGTTAATGAGGTCCAATCTAAGAGCTTGAAACAATGAAGGATTTCTTTTCTCTCACAACATCAGCTGGGGAGCTCTGGCTTTTATCATTGGGCAGTGATGCAGGCTGATGGGAGGGTTGTAATCTTTTTTATATATTAGCAATTAAATACAGTAGCTCAGAAGTGACTAACATCAACAGTTCAAAAACCAATGTACACTACTAGTCATGTAGACCCATAACTTCAGGGAGGCTAGGAAGCATGGTACCTCTGTGCCAGGGAGACAGACAGCTGAAAGTACTTGCTGAATGACACATCTATCCCAGTCCATCTTTCTAGTTGTCAGATATTTGGTCTACTGACTCTTAAAGCAAAACTTACTTACTTCTTCCCCAGGGTAAGATACCTCAACTTCCTATAAAATCACGATATTAAGCTCAAAGTCCAGAATCTCAGAGTTATGCAAGAGTGTGATGTTTAGTGGTCTGTTAGTGAGGAGATGATATATAGTAGTCTTTTCATTGAGTCCAGATGTTGCTTTTTTGATCCAGGAACTTTGAAAAGAAATTGACAAATGATTTGCTGTTCTTAGTACATTAAACAATACGATAGCAAACAGCAACAAAATAATAAAAATAAACATTCTTGTTTGAAAGAGGTGGAAATAGGAAACATAGAAGTCTACAAAAAATTCTGAAACCCTTCTGAGCAAAGAGAGTTCACTTATATGTTTTTTGTTTGTTTGGTACTGGGAATTGAACTCAGGGGCACTCAACCACTGAGCCACATCCCCAGCCCCATTTTGTATTTTTATTTAGAGACAGGGTCTCCCTGAGTTGCTTAGTGACTCTCTAAGTTGAGCTTACAATCCTCCTGTCTCAGCCTCCTGAGCCACTGGGATTACAGGCATGCTCCACTGTGCCTGGTCACTTGCCTTTTTTTTTTTTTAATCCCTAACTTCATCCTTTGGACCTTCTGTTTCTTCTTCCTTCTCCTTCTTTTTCTTTCTTCTTTCCCCTCCTCCTTTCTTTTTCTTCTCTGCCCCTCGCTCTCCTCCCTTCTATTCCCTTTTCCTTCCTTCTTTCCTGTGACCCTCCTAAACTGTATCTGAAATGGACAGTGGGTATTGTCTTTGGGAGGATCAACACTTAGCCCATTTCCTGCCACAGATGCTTGGAAACCCATCACTCATTTTGGTCTTGAGCAGTCCCAGTCTTTTAGCTCCAGCTGGTGGGTTCTTATGGCAGTATCATCTTTGTAGGCTACTTCTTTTTTATCTATGTCCAGTCACCTCCATGTGCCTTAGCTATATCCATGACTCTTTTCTAGCCATACTTCTGATATTGGCTGCGTAGCTCTGCTTCAGTGGTTGCATACTTCTTCCTTCTCTTAATTTTGAGTACAGGTGCTTTTGCTCCAATGCCATATATATGTCTTCCTCAAAATATGCACAATTGAGCCATAATTTCCTCATTTTAATAGAAAAAAAGTATCACTACATCTACTTAGATGTCAAGTAAAACCTGGTGGCATTTATCATCATTCTTTTCTGAAATTCCATTAAGTGAAAGTAAAATAATTTCTTTTAGGAAAAAAAATAAATCTCTGAAGTCAAAGAAATGGGAGAAAATTTGGAAGAGAAGACAATAACAAAGGCAACAAATAGTCACAAACTACACAGTCCCAAGCAGTATACTGATTTTAAAAGTTCTGATACTACTGTATTGTATGAGAGGAGAGTTGAGAACAAAAAAAAAAAGAAAATTATAATGAGAGATGAGGTGTAGTGCCTGAAATTGGGGTGGGGGGGAGTCAAGAAATAGAAATATTCTTATGTAAAAAGGTAAGAATTAAATATCAAGGAAGAAACAGCTAAAATGGCATTATTGTCTCTGAGGAATGGGACTCAAGGTAGCTAAAGTAGGGCCAATATATTTGATTTGTGAAACTATGGGTGCTTCTTTAAAATTACTTTGATTAAAAAAAACCCCAAAGTTCTGCAGTAAGTATAAAATAGAATCAGTAAATCTTTTGCTGTGCCCATGCGTATGGCAAACATTCTTCCCTTTTGTCAGCTCCAACAGGGTCTGTGCTCACAGTAGTGTTCATATGACTCAGCGGTTAAGTGGTTGGCTAAACAGCAATGTGAGGCATGTCACAAAGCAAATAGTGTGCCCTTCTAGTCTTTTTTTTTTTTTAATGGATGGTTTTATTTTTCTTGGAATCACATATCAACCTGATGGTTACTATTTCTTAGAATTTAGACCTCTGTGCAACTGACACATGAAAAAAAAATCACCTGGTTATTGAATAGATCTACTGAGTTTTCAGGCAACAAATTTTAAAATACTTAACAACTTTGAAGTCACTCTATTAAACCTGCAAACAATTACATCTATATCTAGTTATAAATTTTTTTAAAGCCAAGGGTATTTTCTTTCCCTTTTATAATTATATCAATTAGCTGCTTTATTTCCATGATTCCCAGGGCCTGTGCCACCACCACTTTTCTTGAAATCCCACTGTAGTCGATGTGGTGACTGATACTGAAAGAAAGCCAGCTTATTTGAAGCTCCTGAGTGTTTCATGATATTTTGTAACTGGGCTGTAGACTCTGTGCAGACACAGGCCTTGTATTCTGCCTTGTCAGTGTATCTGTAGCATCTGGGATAACAAATGCTATGCATTAGTAGATGTTTATTCATCAGATCCATACTGTGTGATAGGCACTGTGCTAAGCTCTGTAGATATCTCGGTGAACTGGACATCCTAACAGAAAATATTTGTGGACTCATGTAAGCCAGTGAACTAATGGCCCATGCTGAACCATCTAACCATATAAAGCATTGTATATGTAAGGAGCTTAATAATTTTAACTTATGTTTGTTATGTTTTTAATTTTAAGTTGTTGTTGTGATAAAAGCCATAAAAAGGAAATGGTGATATCTGATTTTTTTTTCCTCTTTGTTTCTCTTTGTAGATAAGATGCTCCAAGTTCCTTGCAGCTCTCTTCAGAAGAAAATCACCTGTGCTCTGCTCTTGCCATAATACCAAACCCTTTTTCTTATGTTTTGGTGCTGTGACACTGGAAGAATTGCACACAGGTTCCAGTAATATCTTTTTTTCATTTAAGTAATTCTCTCTGAATGGAAAAAGATTTGAGTCCTAATAATTTCTTTATTTTAAAATTAATTCTCTATACTCTGAACTGCTTAATAAATTGGGCCACTTACCCATGAGCCACACAGCCAGTTCTTGTCAGGAACTGGTTGAAAACTGTGCTGTGCATGTAGCAGGGATGGCACAAGAAGAGAGCCGCCGTGGTCAAGTGCCATCTACTTTTTATCATGGTGCCAACCAAGAACTTGACCTGTCCACCAAAGTGTACAAAAGGGAATCAGGAAGTCCTTATTCTGTGTTAGTGGATACCAAGATGAGCAAACCACATCTCCATGAGACGGAGGAACAGCCATATTTCAGGGAGACAAGAGCAGTGTCTGACGTGCATGCTGTCAAAGAAGACCGGGAGAATTCTGATGACTCGGAAGAGGAGGAGGAGGAGGAGGAGGAAGTCTCTTACAAAAGGGAGCAGATCATAGTGGAGGTAAACCTTAATAATCAAACATTAAATGTATCTAAAGGGGAAAAGGGTGTCTCTTCTCAGTCCAAAGAGACTCCTGTTCTTAAGACGAGCAGTGAGGAGGAAGAGGAAGAGAGTGAGGAAGAAGCCACTGATGACAGCAATGACTACGGAGAGAATGAAAGGCAGAAGAAAAAGGAGAAGATAGTGGAGAAAGTCAATGTTACACAAAGGCGAACGCGGAGAGCTGCCTCTGTTGCCGCAGCTACCACTTCCCCTACTCCCAGAGCTACCAGAGGGCGTAGGAAGAGTGTAGAGCCACCTAAGCGTAAGAAGCGGGCCACAAAGGAGCCCAAAGCACCAGTCCAGAAAGCTAAGTGTGAAGAGAAAGAGACTCTGACCTGTGAGAAGTGCCCCAGGGTGTTTAATACTCGATGGTACCTGGAGAAGCACATGAACGTTACTCACAGGCGCATGCAGATCTGTGATAAATGTGGCAAGAAGTTTGTCCTGGAAAGTGAGCTGTCCCTTCACCAGCAAACAGACTGTGAAAAAAACATTCAGGTAGGTCTTATCACCGAGAGGGCAAACTTTCCAGGATAGAACCTGGCTATTCAGATTCATCTGGTGTCTGCCCAAGAGAATAAATACAATAGGAGGCTGAAGGGACAGATTTCACCAATTTATCATTTTAGAAGCTTCTGCTTGGGTCTTTTCAAAACCAAGGCTTAACATTGTATTTCAAAAGCATTACATTTAACTGATGCTGGACTAGTGGGAACCCAGGTACACTGGAAGGGGGATCTCTTAGAGATGATTGACGAGGACGTAAAGTCAGCATCGACTTTGCCCTGAGATTCACTGTTGTAGGACGTGTGATATAATTCATTCTGGCATCTTTTCTGTCAAGGTGGGAAACGTTGAGTAAAGGTCAGGAGTAGAGAAAGGTCCCTTTCTATTTAAAAGGATGCCAGAATCTAGTGCAGCTGATGGGGACAAAAACCATAATGACGCAGACCGGTGGAAATGGAAGACCTCCAGGAGTGAGTTTGCTTTTTACCAGTGGAGAAATGACAACACTAAATTTGTCAAGAGGCTGAGCCCAAGGGAATATGCAAACTTTAAACAGAGGCTGAGTTGGTTGAAAATGTTGCCCACCTGCAGTGGGATTTCGTAATGCTACTGTACAGTATTATTAAGGTAACAAAACATGGTATTCAAACCAGGCTGGAGTCTTGAAAGGACTGTTGTGGTAGGTTAAGAGGTGTGCTAATCATGTTAGGTTGTGTGGATTGCAGCTATATTGTTTGCATATTAGTGGATATTCATAAAAGGTAAGTCTTTGAAAGTCTAAGATGTGTACAGTAGAAATATTTTGTGCTGTATTTAAGCTAACCTTTTAAAAGATAAATTGTTTTACTTTGTTTTTTGGAGTGCTGCTCATGTTAGTGATCATTTTTAATTTTTACTTTTCTTTTATTGCTTTTAATCAACTGAAGTCATTGCCTTACTTTAAAGTGAATTTTTAAAAATATAAATTACATTTGCTAAAGATCCACTGTTTTTTTGGTCTATCAATTGTGACTTGATTTTGACACGTGGTAAATAAAAGAAGATTTGAGTCATGGCTCCTCTGTCTTTCAGCAACAGCCAGTGCCAGTGAGTGCCCTCTCTAGGGTGTGAATTGGTTACAGCGTTTAAAGCCAGCGGGAGGGTAATGCTGCACCCTAGGGGTCAGAATTGGATTCCTTAATGTTTCATGTCTAAAAAAGTGTTCCTGATCTTTAGTTATAGAATACTTTGCTTAACTTTGCTTTTAGTTACAGGATAAAAAATATTTTAAAGATCTTTTTTTTGTATGTGACTTGCCTTGCTATTCCTCATCATGGTATGTTTAAACTTGTGTTTATAGAGTTTGCAGAGTCTGCTAATTGAACTTTCTTCGCATTCCTGAAGAACACTGCTTTGTTCGTATATATATGCTTTGTATAGATCCTGATAATCCCAATGACCTGGTAACAAGTGAAAAATCAAAACCCTGCCCTATAAGATGGCTTATGGAAGTGGTTTGTCCTTTTCTAGAGCATTTTCTAGCCAGGGACTTATCCTTCAACTCTGAATTCTCAAGAGTTCTTGTTTCCTGCAGTGACACTGATGTTCAGAGATCTTTATTTACAGAGAACACTAACTTGTTTTCTAAGTATTGCAAGGTCTATTGATTACCAAGAACTTTTGGATATTGTTTTTCTTTAACCAGAAATATTTTATTTTGTTGCTCTATTCTAAGCTCCATGACATAAGAGACTAGGCAGTGTGATGTCTTTCCTATAGATATATGTAAGACAGATCTGGAACAGGGCTGTAGGGGAAAAGGAGGAATGATGCTAACAGTTTAGAGGTTATACTAATTTCTACCAGAGGGAAATGTTTAATGGAGTAGATTAGATTTGGGAAAATACAACAAAATCTCACTTGTTAATGAGGGCTCCAAATGCATTGTCTAAGGTATAAAAATATTTTTGTACTTCTGCAGATCTATAATCATTGCTATATGTTGTTTTATTTTTATTTATTATAATTTAAAATTAGTTTGTGTTCTCTGGTCAACGCCTATTAACTGCATAGTGCCTCATGTGTGAGAGGCAGCCACTCTGGGTAATCCACGGACTAAATAAATCTGAAGGTTCTTTTTGTAGGTACAACATTAACTTGATAATAGCAGTCACATCTTTGATATTAGTGGAACTTCCACTTCTTGTTTTACTTTGTACAATTGTTATCATACTCCTAAAGGCTCTCTAAAAGATGCATCTTGTAAAATAGAACGTACAGATGTTGGTGTTGGAATCTGGACTCCACGGTGGAATAGCATTTGTTTAGATTCCGGCCTTGTGCTGTGAATCTAAAGCACATCCATTTCATCTGCCAGGAGGCCAGTATGGCTTTCTGCCATAAATAAAGTAAATAAAGATTATTTCTATTTATCCTGCTCAGTGTGTTTCCTGTAACAAATCGTTCAAGAAACTCTGGTCCCTTCATGAACATATCAAGATTGTCCACGGATATGCAGAAAAGAAATTTTCCTGTGAAATTTGTGAGAAGAAATTTTATACCATGGCTCACGTGCGGAAACACATGGTTGGTAAGTTTTTTCTGCTTCTTTCTCTCACACCTATAATTTCCTCTTGTTCCTTGGTGTGCTTTATGCTCTGGATTGGGCAAGATATGTGGAACTGCTGTACTTTAATCAGTTTTGACATGTTGAGACTAAATACAGCATGTTTTCAGTAAGCATCACCAAATTGGATGGTGTAGTTTTCCACACCCAGATTTCTTTTTAACTTCGTTATTTTTCTCTTCAGAGTATACTATTAAAGTGTCACCAAAAAAAAGTGTAAAAAGTTAAGATGGCATAGTTACCTTACAGTACATCTGGCTTTCAACTTTGAGCTTTTTTGGTGGAATTATTTTGAGTGTAAGTGTGTTCTATGTTGCAGCACACACGAAAGACATGCCATTTACATGTGAAACCTGTGGAAAATCCTTTAAACGCAGTATGTCACTCAAGGTGCATTCCTTGCAGCATTCTGGAGAGAAGCCCTTTAGATGTGAGGTAAGGACTATGTCACCCCATAGGCCAAGCCCAGAGCTAACGTTGTATAGATGGTGCAGCAATGAGAGTGAGATGCTGAGGTACAAGGTGCATGGCCACATGCCACAGAAGCTTCAGAGGCACACTGAGCTTTGTGTGCACTCTCACTTCTAGGAAGAGAAATGTCCTATTTAACACATGGTTAACTCTCTTAGGTTAACTTGGGAATAGCATGTAATGACTTATTTTTTCTTTCTCAGTGATTCACAGAAGTTGAGTATGCTCCAGTAATAATTATATGGAAAAAATCCCTTTTATTCATAACTCAGCTGCAGAAACATAGCAAAGCCAAGTAGCTGACACGAGCAGGTTCTATTTTGAGTATGAGAAATAGACCTAATGTCAGAGAGTGTGTTAGGGTGGTCTCAGGTAAAGCTTCTGTGATTGGCATTAAAAAATCTTCACTATGTCCAATGCAGAACTGTGACGAAAGGTTTCAGTACAAGTACCAGCTACGCTCCCACATGAGCATCCACATTGGGCACAAACAGTTCATGTGCCAGTGGTGTGGCAAGGATTTCAACATGAAGCAGTACTTCGACGAACACATGAAAACACACACTGGTAAGGATTTCTCAAGTACTTGTTGATAATCACCCGTGGGTCTACTTTGTTTTAAATCTGGATCCACAAATTTTCATCCTAAGTGAAAAAAAATTCAATTTTAAATAAACCAAATATGTAAAAATACAGATTCATAATAATTAAAAATTTAGCTTTCATAACTTTCAAAAAGGTTTATTTGTGACTGCCTTTTAACTGTGGGTTTATTTAAGGAAGTGGGTTCTTGTGGTTCAGGAACTTCTGAAATCTTGCTTTGTATATACATATGTTATTTTTCTTAGGAAAATATTCTGGGTCTTAAAAATTGAAGGACCCTTACTACTTCAAATAGAAGACCCTCTGATATTCCCAAAGTTTAATTGGATTTTTTAAAATTTCTTTTATTATTATTATTTTTTAATTGTAGTTGGACACAATATTTCACTTATTTATTTTTATGTGGTGCTGAGGTTCGAACCCAGGGTCCTGCACTTGCAAGGCCAGAGCTCTACCACTGAGCCACAACCCCAGCTCGTGATTGGATTTTATTCATTAAAATTTTGCTACCTTTCAGGAACACATTCATTAAATGAAGCTAAATAGATTTTAATCACTTTGTAGTTTTAGGGACATGGCTTCATAGCATGCCTTTGAACCCTGTCACCACTTGATTATTCAGATTGTAGGGAACTGGATAAATTAATAGCTCTCCACATAAATACTATCATTATTTTACAGTGTGAACTTGATGTTCTGGGGTTACCCATCTCGGCACAAATTGAAGAGCAGATTGAAGAGCATGAAACAATTTTAGATTTCTAAGTAAAATCTAATCAGTAGAGTAACAGAACTAGAAAGAACCATAGGAGATTATCTTGCTTAGCCTGCTGTTCTTTTTGCTTAACTAGTGGTGAGGAAATTCTGCCCATGGCTGGATCTCTTTAGTTCCCATTTCTCTGTTGAAGTCCAAAGAAAAATGCCTGCTTGGTAGCTTTCTTTCTTATTCAGAACAGAGCACCCTCAGATTGTAAGCATTGGGCAAGGTGAAGTCATGAAGTGACTTTATTTAGTTACATTAGACCCCCAAAATGATAATAACTGAAGATATAGCTCAAGTAAATAGCAAGATCTATCAAAGTATTTAACAGTCTCATCTTCACTGGCTCTTAGACTCTTAGTTCTAATTGAATCTCTTTAGGATTCAATTTTTCAGTTACTTGGCAGAAAACAATGGAACTAAACAGAACTTTTTTATATATATATTTTTAGTTGTAGATGGATACTTTTATTTATTTTTTATCCATCTGTTTATTTATTTATTTTTGTGTGGTGCTGAGGATTGAAACCAGGACCTCATATGTGCTAAGCACAAGTGCTCTACCATTGAACTACAATCCCAGTCCAGAACAGAAGTTTTTTGACGGCAGAGGTTGTGTTGCATTCACAAAGAGTGCTCATCCCATAGGTTCTTGGTAAATGTTGCACTGTTGAAAATGGCCCCCAACACTAAGTTTGCCTCTGCATTCACCTCTTCTCTGCATGTTTCCCTGTGTGTCTTTCTCCTTGCTCCTTCTTCCCTCCTTTTCCCATTTTCTTTCTTTCCTCCCCTTTATCTTTCTATTTATTCTTCAGACCTTTAAATGTCTACAATATGAAATCAAAATGTATATTTTATAATTATTTTAGTTATAAATACAATTTTATGCTAAATATTTTTCTTTGACCAAATAGGCTAGCTGGGGCTGGGGATGTGGCTCAAGCGGTAGCACGCTTGCCTGGCATGCGTGCGGCCCGGGTTCGATCCTCAGCACCACATACAAAGATGTTGTGTCTGCCAAAAACTAAAAAATAAATATTAAAAAAAAAAATTCTCTCTCTCTCTCTCTGTCTCTCTTATCTTGAAAAAAAATAGACTAGCTGAACATTTCCTATTTTTTTCTAAAGGAATACAATTCACTTAAATTTTTATCTTTCTCCTTAAAAGGGTGATACATACTGGGCACAGTGGTGTTTGCCTATAATCCCAGCAACTCGGGACTGAGACAGGAGGATCACAAATTATTGCCAGCCTTAGCAATTTAATGAGACATTCAGCAATTTAACAAGACCCTTCTCAAAATAAGAAAGTAAAAAGGACAATTTAGGGAGGCCCTAAGCAACTTAGCGAGACCCTGTCTCAAAAATAAAACCTTAAAAATAGGCCTAGGTTGTGGTTCAATGGTAAAGTGCCCCTGGGTTTAATCCCTTGTACCCCTCCCTAAAAAAAACAAGTAATATACATCTATTAAATTATCAGAAACTATGAAAATCATAAAATAAAAATAAAATCTTTGTTGGGTAGGGTATTGCACACCTGTAATCCCAGTGATTCAGGAGGCTGAGGTAGGGAATTCACAAGTTTGAGACCAGCTTGGGCAATTTAATGAGATCCTGTCTCAAAATAAAAAAAATGAGATCTTATCTCAAAATATAAAAGGGCTGGAGATATAGCTCAGTGGTAAAGCTCCTCTGGGTTTAATCTCCAGTACCAAAAAAATAAATAAAAATCTTACCAACAAGACCACTGTTAATGTTATAGCATGCATCCATTTTTTAAAAATGTTCTAATTTTTAATACATATAGACATACATACTATGCATATGTGTTTCTGTGTTGATATGAAAAGTAATGAAACAAGGGACTGGGTGTGGTTCAGTGGTTGAACATGTGCTCAGCATGCATGAAGCCCTGGGTTCAATCCCTAGCAGTAAAATAAAATAAAATAATATAGTCTTTATTCACTAGTGTAACCTGTTCTTTATCTTATATGTCATGTCATTATCAGCAATGGAATTTAAATCTCTAAATAAGATTTCTTCTTATAAATTTGCTATAAGAGCAACTATTATTTATTATTACACAAAATGCCAGGCATTACATACATGACCTCATTTAGTCAATAAAATCTTTACAACAGTCCTATAAAATAAAAGATGTTTCCTCCATTTGGTTAGCCAGTTCCTGTTGGACATTGTTTTTTCTGTCTCCAGTTTTTCTGCTGTTATAAACAATAGGGTGATAAACAACCTTGTAGCTAACACATCCAAAATTATTTCCCTAGATCAAATTCTGGAAGTAGGATTATTAGGGCAGAGAGTGTACACGTTTTTGACTTAGCAGCATGTATTGCAAAATAGCCCTTCACATAGACTCCTACTAGCGGTGCATGAAAATCCCCATTTCCCTCACCTTTTTTTTTTTTTCTGGTTTGGTATCAGCAGTACCTAACCACTGAACAACATCCCCAGCCTTTTAAATTTTTTATTTTGAGACAGGGCCTTGCTCATTTGCTGAGGTTAGCTTTAAAGATGTGATCTTCCTGCCTCAGCCTCCAGAGCCGCTGGGATTATAGGCGTGTGCCACAGTGCCTGGCTTCTCTCACCCTTCTAACTGTAATATTTCTCACTTGATAGGTGAGAAGTGGTTTCTTCTTGTATTAATTTACATTTAATTAATATTGTATAATTGAATATTAAGTAACTAATATTAACTAAGATTGAACATTTTTCACATGTATATTATCAGTGCATTTTCTTTTCTGATTTGCTTTGTACCTTTTCTGTGTTCATCTTTCTGTTGCAGTGTTTGATTTTTCTTATTGTTTATAATAACTCTTTCTATATTAAATGTGCTAGACCTTGTTTAACATCCATATTGAAATACTTCTGCTGTCCTGTCATCTGCCTTGTAGTATTATTTGTAATACTTAAGTTGTGAAAAGCAGCTGGATGGTAGAGTTGGACAAGCCTGGACCCTGCCACTCACGAGCAGAATTACATAATAGCTATAAGCCTCTAGTTTCTTGGCATCAATAAGAATGATGGGAAGCAGACTAGGGGAGAAGGGTTAGCTTTGGAGAAGGAAAAGGGAGCCAGGCACAGTAACACACACCTGTAATCCCAGTGACTCAGAGGAGGCTGAGGTAGGAAGATCACAGGTTCAAGGATAACCTCAGCAGTTTAGTGAGACCCTCAGTAACTTAGCAAGACCCTTTCTTAAAATAAAAAATAAAAAGTGCTGGTAAAGGGCTGGGGATGTGGCTCAAGCGGTAGTGCGCTCGCCTGGCATGCGTGCCGCCCGGGTTCGATCCTCAGCACCACATACAAACAAAGATGTTGTGTCCGCCGAGAACTAATAAATAAATATTAAAATTCTCTCTCTCTCTCTGTCTCTCTCTCTCTCTTAAAAAAAAAAAAAAAAAAAGTGCTGGTAAAGCATTCAGTGGTAAAGTGTACCTGGGGTTCAATCCCCAGTTCCAAAGGAAGAAATTATTTAAGTCTGGATGAAACTATGTTTAGAGACAACAGCATATTTTGATGGGCATTAAGGCAGTTGTGAAAACTGACATTCAGTGGGCTATTTCTTTGTAGATAAAGAGAAGTGAGGCACAACTAATCTAGGGAAGCTAATCAGCCACAAGGCAGGGCTTCCTGGTATGGTATGGACATGGGGTGAATTCAGAGTAAAACACTTGCTATTCTCCTTGTACTGGGCTGAGTGTCTTGTGCTTAGGGACATAAGGATGAAGACCTGGTTTCTGCCCTCAAGGAGCCTACAGTCTGATGAATGATGATGGTGATAATAATAAAAGTATCTAAAATGCATTGAGTGTCTGCTATTACCACATCCTGCTCTAAGCATTTCCACTTGTGTATTCTATTACAATAACCTATTAGTTAGGTTATTATCTTTATTTTTCAGATCAGGAAGCTTAGGCTCAGGGATTAGAAAACTTGTCCAAGGCAATATGACTCCAAATCATCCATTTAATGATTGTGATATAAATTTAATGAAGCAAGATAACAGGACATCAGCTTCCAGGATTTGTCGGAGTGCCCAAGCAGCTCAGTATCAGAGGAAATGATATGTGCTAAAGAGTCCTAATAACATGCAAATAAAATTGCCAGTCTATTAAATTATGAATGGCAGATAGTTTTCCCCAGTACTAGTGATTGAATCCAGTGGCTCTCTACCACTGACCTACACCCCAGTCCTTTTTATTTTTTTAATTTTAAGAGAGGGTGAGAGGGTCTTACTCAGTTGCTGAGGCTGGCCAAGAACTTAGAATCCTTCTGCCTCAGTCTCCTGAGTCACTGGGATGACAGGTGTACACCACCACAACCAGCTAGTTCAGAATTCTTAATGCTCTTTAGTCAGAATATTCTTTGCCTAAGGAAAAATCTATATTAGAAGATAAGTTATAATCAGAAGATTGTCAGGAACAGAGAAGTAGAACAGAGGAAGGCAACTGAATGATCTTAATAGTGAGTGCTATACATCATTGAATCCAAGAAGCCATCAGTTGAAAGACAAAATTTATATACTGCTGAGGAAATGCTATAAATTAAACATGATGTGTCATTGATTATAAAGTATATGCCAGTTTCAGAGATCTTAAAACATAGGGGAAGAGATATATCTTAATTAACAAATATTTATTAAGAGTTTGCTAAATGGCACTACTAAGGTAAGCAAGACTGAGATAGTTCCTGGGTCCACAGAGCTGTTGGTCAGGCTTGGGGGCAGGTGAGCAAGCATGACAGTGATTTGGCCGTAAAAGCACAGGGAGGAGTGTGAGGGGCAGGGAGACTGATCACTGTAATACTGGAGAGCATTACACAGGGATCAGATCACAAAGAACCCTTTATGCCCTGTAAAATATTTTGAACTTTATTTTAAGGACAGTGAAAAGAGAATGATTTTAAGTAATATGTGACACAACTCTCTGAGAGTTAAGTCTGGCAGTAGTGTGAAGAGAGGACTGGAGGGTGGGGAGCAGGAACAGAGATGGTAAAACTGGTCAAGTGGCTGTTGTGTAATCCAGGTAACAACTGTGATGATATGAACTGAAATGGCAGTGGATGAAATCTCAGCCACGGACAAGGTAGAGTCAAAGGAACAAGGTGATTGAATGGATAATGGTAATGTGGGAGCAAAGAATCAAGGGTTAGTCTTAGATTTGGGGCTTTGTACTATTTTCACAGTAGGGAATAGTGGAGGGAGGAGCAGATTCGTAGGTAGGCTAATTAATTTAATTTTGAGATATCTGTAAGACATTCAAGTGGAGATACCAGTAAGCAGTTTGAAAAGTAAGCTCAAAGCTCAAGAAAAAGATTCAGGTTAGGTATATAGATGCATATGTTTCTGATGTTCATTTGTTGACCAGATCATTTTTTCCTTGGAACAGTACAAAAGACAGCTAGCCAGACTCTTGCTCTTTGCAATCTTTCCTGTAGATTGTCTTCGTTTATAACATCCTTTCTCTGGGTTCCTCATAATAACTCTTTTCTTAATGTTAGGTCAGCTTTATTAGGTACGTCTTTGTGTATTGATATACATGCTGGTCTAGTTACTTTGATGAAGTTAGCTGTTCCTGTATCTTCTAGCAACTAAATATGGCCATGGAATGTTATACAAGTGGTTGATTTTCTTGGGTTTTTTGTTTGTTTGTTTGTTTTGGTATGGGGATTGAGCCCAGGGGCACTTAACCACTGAGCCACATTCCCAGTCCTTTTTATATTTTATTTAGAGACAGGGTCTCACTAAGTTGCTGAGACTGGCTTTGAACTTGCAATCTTCCTGCCTCAGCCTCCCAAGCCACTGGGATTACAAACTTGTGCTACCATGCTCAGCTAGGTGGTCGATTTTAAATGTTTAGCCAGTTATTACATTTTGTGCCCATGACTTGGGAGGCTGAGGCAGGAGGATTGCAGGTTGGTAAAAGGGATCGTGTCTGGTATACTAAGTAGTGATCAGCGAATCAGGTGGAAAGTGTTTTCTCAGACCATGGTAATTCAAAAATTAGGTCCTTCAGCTCTATTTCTAGGTAGCTGTTGTGAGTGAAGAATACTAACTCTGGAGAGTCAAGGAGGAGGTGGTTCAGGGGGTTAATGAGTTATCAAACAACTGTGTTTTTAAAACATTCCATTATATAAGTAAATTGTGTTTATTTTAGAAAAACAGAAGATACAGATAAGTGTTTATAATAAAGTCAGTATATGCATAATCCCATTACCTAGAGATAATCATGGTAACATTTCTGTATAACACAGACTTTGAAGTTTTAAAGATGATTGGAGGAAATGGATTTTAAAAGAATGAAAACAAGATGAGCTAGAACTCATTCAGATGTGAGTATGAGTCACAGTGAGGAGCCTCAGTGCAGGGCTGGAATAATGGAAAGCAGAAAGATAAGAGCTACACAATAGCTTGGAAATAGCACTGACAGATGGAGCAAACTGGCCCCTTCCAACTCTTTAAACTGATCCCTCAGGGAAGCAAGGGAAATTCTGTCTTCTGTGGTAAAGGCAATAGGAGACGTTAAGGTTTCTACTAGAATAAGAAAGTGGAGAGAAGAAATATGACTGACCATAGGACTTTGCTCCTAGTTATGGGGAGTCCCAAAGTGGAGGAAAAAGAGTAAGAAAACACATCCCTCTGTGTGTACAGAAATGCACCCGGAGTGTGAGTACTCTGGTCCACATACAGACACAGACTTTGGAGCAAGACTTTAGAGTTTTCAGTTTGGACCCTCCTCTAACAAACAGTCAGCAGCTTTCTTAACTTCCTCATATCACCTTGTAAGGTCACTGTGAGGATCACCAAGATTAGCAGATGTGAAGCGATTAGACTAGAACCTGGTATACTGTAAGTCTCAATACACGGAGAAGGAAAGGAGTGGCAACTGAAGTGACAGCAAGTGCTCCTAGCAGGAGTTAAAGGGACCCGCTAGTGTGAAGAGAAGAAGCCATGCAGCTGCAGACCCCTGCGCCACTACCACCTTCCCCCAGTCCCCTTTCCATTAACCAAACCAAGATGGTAGATTGCATGTGAGTGAGTCGTACTTGTGTCTGCTCTGATCTCTTAAGTTGCAATCTGGATGACTCTTTTATGACTAGAATGTAAGATGCGTGCAGAAGAGAAGTGGTAATCTCCTTTGTAAATATGAGGAATAACATCAGCAGATAGTTATTGCCCAGTGGGTTAATCCATTTCCATGTTCATTTCAGGAGAGAAGCCCTTTATCTGTGAAATCTGTGGCAAAAGCTTCACCAGCCGCCCCAACATGAAGAGGCACCGCAGAACTCACACAGGCGAAAAGCCCTACCCCTGCGACGTGTGCGGGCAGCGGTTCCGCTTCTCCAACATGCTCAAGGCCCACAAGGAGAAGTGCTTTCGGGTGACCAGTCCCGTGAATGTGCCGCCTGCCGTCCAGATCCCACTCACAACTGCCCCAGCCACCCCAGTTCCTTCTGTGGTGAATACACCCACCACCCCGGCTCCTCCCATCAGTATGAACCCCGTTAGCACTCTTCCCCCACGGCCCATCCCCCACCCCTTCTCTCACCTGCACATCCACCCGCACCCTCACCACCCGCACCACCTTCCTATCCCTCCAGTCCCTCACCTGCCCCCACCACCAGCTCTCTTCAAGAGTGAGCCTTTAAATCACAGAGGCCAGAGTGAGGACACCTTTCTGCGGCACCTGGCAGAGAAGAACAGTTCAGCACCGCATCATTAACATCCATCTCCTTAAGCACGTTCCCCAGTTGTGTTCCCACGGTGAGTTGGTGGAGCATTTCTGCACTTCTCAGGCTCTCCTCAGCTCCCTCAGGGGCTTTGCCATTGTTGGGGTGAATCAGCAGACCCAAGGGAGTGAACCAGAAGACGACCTTGAGCTCACAAGGAAACTCATCTAAACCAGGGAACCACTAAACTAAAGCCCAATTTGCTTGCATTTTCTGACGACTTTTATAAATTTCAAATACTCAGACTTGTGGGATTTTATAATTTCATATCAGCTGATGAGGTATGCTTGCTTTTATATCCTGGACTTCTCCTCAAAGAGGGGATAGGCCTGGTCTCCTTTGTACTAATCGGGAAGGCTGTGAGATTAATCCAGAGCATTAATTGTATCACTGTGTATTGTAATGAATTCTTTTCAGCTTTTGGTGCTGGCTACAGAGTTAAGCTGGCCATGTTTCACAGTATATCAAGCATTATAGAGAAAGATGGAAATTTTCTTCTTTGTGTAGCTCTCCTAACGCACTCTTTATTTTACTACAGAAATTATTTTAGAGGTTTTGTATAGACTTCTTTAGTAGTCTGTTTCTAAAATGAAATGTATTTCAATAAGCGGTGTAATTTTTTCTGTGTAGCTAAACCTATGTTGTAAAATAGAAAAAAAATTTTATAATCATCAAAATGTGATTCTTAAAGATGCATATAACTTCTATAATTCAAAGTTATTCTTACATCCGTACAACTCAAAGGTGCTTCAGAGACTAGATGTGTCTGCAAGGGTCGCCAGACCAGGTTCTTGCAAAAACCGAGGTTTTGCTTTCAGAGTGTGGTGTAAGTACTTGGTAAAAATCTCTGCTTAGCTCTCAGATGTCCATCAGCCTCACTGACATGCTCCTCTCCTCCGTGTTGCTTTGGGCCCCACATGCATTGAATGGATGATTTACAGGGGGTCCTGCCTTGAAAAGTCTTGAATGAAGTTGTTCACTGTTAGAAGGAAGTAGAGATTATTTCATCTTAGTCACATCTGTTTCTTACTCTCCTTAGGAACTGTGTTTACATTTAACTCTTCTGGGAAGACAAATTAGAGTCTCTGTTTTTGAGGTTGCTTTATTTTTCTAGAATTGTTATGAAAAACTAAAATAGTAAACCAAAATCATAAACTTATTGCTGATAGTGGCTGAGAAATTTGAATGAGAAGACAAATTGGTTGAGTTTTATGTTATACATGAAATGTGGATATGCCTACAACTTTGAGCTATTTTAACTTAGTTTAAATTATAGTGAGGGGAAATTCCTAGGTTTTGCTGCCCTGTCCTCTGAAGATAGTTATGTAACACCAGCACCCTTAAGTGAGGAAGAGAGCAGCACCTCTCTCTCGTTTTTCTAGGTGGCTTCCTTTTTCAAGTTTGGGGGTCTTCCAATGGGCACCATCAACCAGGAGCTGATTACCTGGAAGGGAAGGTTGAACAGAAGGGCTAACACAATGATTGCATTTAACTGACCACATTTATCCAGACTCATTAGAAGCTACAAATTTTATATTTCTTCATCTCAAACAACTGAGTTCCCATACCCCCTCCTCCATTTTTTTAATCTTGAAATGTCTTCATTTCTCTTTCCTCGGGCTCTTAAATCATTGCCTGAATCAGAACTCTTTTATTTATTTTTTATTTTTATATGAAATGTGCAGATATGTGTCAAGCACTTTTCTGGATGATTAGCTCTGTAGCAGGGATAAATGGAACTCTCATTTGTGAAGTTAGGTCTCTATTTTTAAACAGACCACTCTCTACTAGCTTTTTGGTTTAATGTTTCCAATTTTTTTCCTTCCGATTTTGCCTTTGTCTTCTATAATGCATAGGAAAATTTTGCAGTGAGGCAGAAAAATATCTTAAGACATATTTTTCTTCCTGTTTTTGGATGTAAGTTTTAAAGAATGGTATTTTTAATATTTGTATACATTCTTTGAGCCCCCAGGTACCCAAGCTGGTAAGGAATTTTAGTTCCTTGATTTTGATTGTTATAACTTTAGTGACCTGACCTCCACAGTCTCTTTTGCATTCCATGACAAGTTTGTAAATCCACACTTTTATGTAGACTTTTATCATTATTTCATGGTCAGGCCTGTAATATTAAAATAGTTTTATAAAAAGATGTAAATTATACCTTAGTTAATTGGTTATACCTTATTTTGTTCTAAATAAATGTGTAGAATTGGGCGGCAATTCTGAACTCTAGACTTGAGACCACTGAATCAACTATTTCATGAGATGTTCTATAATTATATACTGGAAAATTCAGGTAGTCATCTTTGGTTTTTCATTCAAGCAATTATAGCCATAAGAAAATATCTGTTACACAGACAAAAAATAGTAAGCAAATAGCCACCACTATTCTTACAGAAGGAAAAAAATGATTGGAAAAAAAAAGAATTAACATTGTCACACAGTATAATTTTTAGTGAAATGTATTGTGGAACAATCTAGAAACTTACAATTTTCTCCCCTGGATAGGTGTACCTTTCCTTATTTGGGATTTGTGGTCTTCAGGAAAACTTCTCAGAATATGATTCCTCATCAGTGTCATTTTATGTATGAATAATGAAATGCATTAAGAATAGTCATGACATTAATGCTTCTGAATACAAGAACTAAAGGATTAAGCCTTAAAACATGTATGTGCATCAGGTTTAACGTGCTGAAGACTCAAACTCAGGGTTGAAAATTTGGTTGGGGTCCTCTACCAAAATAAAGTTGCATATTCTATAGCACCCCATGAATTCTTCAAAGCCTATGACCTCCTCATTATCTGTTTTTGAAAAAAAAAAAACTCTGGAGGAGTTTGAGTCCTCAGCCCTTATCTGTACTTATATCTCAAAGACAATAAAGGCCACATTTCAGCATTATATAGATAATGAGGCTGTCTCTCATTACTATATCTTATACTGTCTTTAAAGGCTTGTATCATTGCAAGGGTTACTTATTTGAGGAAAATTTCCCAAGGACTTTCTTGGGTTGACATTGCATTTTTGGTAGTTAGTTGTTTTTTTTTTTTTTTTTATGCATTTTCTATTCTTTTCCCATAGATTTATCATTCAAATGTAAACTCTTCTTTAGCCCTAATAAAAGGTTCCTGTTTTCTCAAATTGAGTCAGGTAGGCTTATACTGAGGTAGGTTTTTAAATCTGAATGAAGAAAAAAGGATGAATAGTTTAAAGGCACATGGCCTCCTTTCTACGTATCTTTACGATTTGATTCTTACTTTTAGCAAACATCTCTGAATAAAACTTTACCATAGTTCAAAGAAGCCTGTGCAGATCACTCCCACATACTTTTATAGTCTACCTTTTACACCAATTATTCTAAATTAATGATTGAGCATAGAAGTTTCCATAATTTTATACCATCTTTTTTTTTAAAAAAAAAAATGAAGAAGAAAAACTACGCTTTATTGGAAGTACCTTTTTATTGTGGTTAGAATGCTCCCTGTAATTTGATTGTTCCTAGCCCACTAACTGCAGGCAAAATGCTTTGAAGAGGAACTTGTAAACTTTGAATTTTTTACTTCTTAAATTTTTTTTCAGTTTTTATTTTTGTTGAATGGATGTGTGTGTTTAGTTTCATTTTTATTTCACTGGAAGTTTTAAATTTTGAGAATCTGGAACAAAGAAAGAAATTCTTTGCAGATGTATAGGTAAATTTAGCCCACCTTGCAAATTTTTATACAACATCCTGTGGTAGGTAGGTTTTTATTTTCACTTTTTTTTTTTTTAAGTGTTAGATGAACACTTCGGTTTGAGCTACTGTATGGAAAAGATAACTCTTGTTGCATTGCTGGTCCACATGATGATGTTCCAGACTGGGGAGGATTTAATTAAAATGGGGATAAGTTACACTTAAGCATTTTATCGGTTAACTATAATTTTTTTTTTAAAAATCAGCTCACTTGGAATTCTTTCAACTGTAAAACTAAACAAGTAAATATTGGGTCTTAATTTTCCTTTGCCTGCATCAAGATAGGAATTTCCCAAAAGACCATTTTTTTCAGGAATGAAGTTATAAGCCATTAGAGATAGTGGCATCTCATGCAATAACAACGCCCTAGCTGACTTGCTTTTGGTCATCTGTAGCATTCATAAGAGATAATGACAACCTTCTAACCCTGGACACTACCTCGATAATGCAAACCAGAGGTCCTCTCTACACTTTCTATGGAAGCCATAAAAATTGCCATCAGAATATTCACTTTCATAGTTCTATACTTTTATACTCTGTAGACATTTTTATAGACTTTATGACCAGATCTTTTTGTCTTAGAGGATAGGCTTTGCAAGACTTTAAGGAAAATCAAACTCCTAAGTTTTCCCAATGTTGAAGCTTCAGCCTCAGTAAATTTGTTTAAAGAACTAGATAACTTACCATTTATCAAATTTGTTACTTAATTCAAACTAATTTGCAGAATTGCATATCCAGAAAACAAACTTTTCTTTCTTGTTTCCTAAGTAGAAGCTATGTTGTTGTAAGAAATGACTCATGAAGTGGGTTTCTTTCTACCTTGTCAACTCTGTGGATCACTCCATGATACATGTCTTGTCCCTGTGTTCCTGGCATTGTTTTTGTTTGTTTATGACAGATAAAGTGAGAATATGCCTCTCTGTCTAGGGTTGTGATCTCACTGCAGCTTCAGTCTCTCTCACTCTGTTCTTGAGTGCCTTCAAAAAGCCAGCATCCTGGAGCATTATTTCCCTGGTCTAAATCCTACCTCTGATTATTTCATTCTGCATGAGTATTGGGATCCACCCTTAATCCGAAGGGTTTAACTCTACAAACTGGCTAAAACCTTGGTCAAGAATTCTGAACATATTTTTTTGTTGTTCCTGCATGTGTTTTCTGTTTACTTTTTAAACTTTGATTTACATCTTATTCATATATTGTGTTGCTAGTGTTGAAAGATATTATCCTTATCTTGCTCTTCACCTTCTTTCATGAGAAGCTAGATGTTCCTTTAAAGGTCCTTGAGTTTCTTTTGTACATCGTTTTCTCATCTGAAGTCTTCCTGAATGCCTGCCCTTCCTGACAAAGGGATTCTGAATGCTGCTGTTGCTCTGCACCCTCTTCTCTTTTGCAAATATTTTGCAAGGTTGTACCCATAACTTTCTTTTAGTCAAAATGAATTTAAAATTGCTCTCTGGATTTAAAAGAAGACCTTCACTTATTTCTTTCTTTTTAATCTGCCTCTCTCATCTCTCAAAAACCTCTATTTACTTTCTTTTCTAGTTATTGTCATCTAATTCATTTTAAAAGTATGATTGATACATAACACCTGAAGGATGTAATAAACAGAGGGTCAAAGTGTGTTCTGTCTGTGATATGGGCATTTCATTGATAAAATTTATTTTAGCAATTGGCTAATCGTTCACAGCCAAAACTAGTCTGTGCTGTGTACAGGTTGATTGCTCCTAAGTTCTCCTCCAAAGGTAAAAACAAATGAACCCTTTAAAATGAGAAAAATGATCCCAGGGACTCTTGAGTTAAGGCAGGAGGATGGCAAGTTCAAGGCCAACCTCAGTAATTTAGTAGGACCCTGTCTCAAAATAAAATTTAAGAAAGGGGTTTAGGGATGTGGTGGTG